ACTCAATGATCCAGCTTCTGGGAATTATTGCAGTGATTTCGCAAGTTGCATGGCAGGTTTTCATCATTTTTATCCCTGTGATTGCAATCTGTATCTGGTTACAGGTAACGCTTCTTTGTCCGACTGCTCCTATCTTATGCGTTGTATCGATACATGAATTTCCACTTGAAATTTAATATGGAAATGTTAATGTCCCTTTAATGTTAATTCTTTGTTGATCATGCACTGTTGATGCTCGTTATTCATGCCTATACATGACCTACCTTCTATTTGATGTGGAAGTGAGGAACTTGGCTTCTTTGTTGACACAAAAGTTCACTAAGTTGATATATTAGCATTTTCTTTAACCTTTTTCTGCTACAGTTCTTAGAAACTTCTAAATTGACACAACATGGAACATGATTGACAATATGAATCCATATAACAAACATAACTCCTGTTACAGCCAAAAATCTATATGAACTATGTTAAATGTGAAGAAAGATGGTCAAAATTTTTATATTCATGCAGAAATACTACATATCTTCAGCACGAGAACTAGCACGGCTGGTTGGAGTATGCAAAGCTCCAGTGATACAACATTTTGCCGAAACAATTTCAGGGTCGACAACTATTAGGAGCTTCGATCAAGAGTCAAGATTTAGGGATACAAACATGAAACTGATGGATGGTTATGGTCGGCCTAAGTTTCATACTGCGGCTGCAATGGAATGGCTATGTTTTCGCTTGGATATGTTGTCATCTATCACTTTTGGATTCTGTTTGGTTTTCTTGATCTCTATTCCAGCAGGGGTGATTGATCCAGGCAAGTGGTATTCATTTAGTGTGTTACTAATTATTCTTTTGAAAGCAAATGGTAAAGCAAACCTATGAATTCTCTCTTTTCTTATTTGTTTTTGGTATTTTCCTCTGAAGGTGTTGCGGGCTTAGCTGTCACATATGGACTTAATCTAAACACGTTACAGGCGTGGGTTATATGGAATCTTTGCAATGTGGAGAACAGAATAATATCAGTGGAGAGATTACTACAGTACACTACCATTCCCAGTGAGCCTCCTCTTGTAATAGAATCCAATCAGCCAGATCGTTCTTGGCCATTACGTGGAAAAGTTGACATACATGATCTTCAGGTACTTGCTGTTCTGGTTTATTTCTTTCATAACATATGGGGTCATTCATGTGTGACTCGAATTTCATGTTTATATAGGTCCGGTATGCCCCACACATGCCGCTTGTGTTGCGAGGTATCACATGTACGTTTCCTGGAGGAATGAAAACTGGGATTGTGGGTAGAACTGGCAGTGGCAAATCGACTCTCATACAGACCCTTTTCCGAATTGTGGATCCTGCTTCTGGCCAGATTTTGATAGATGGTATTGATATATCTTCAATTGGACTGCATGATCTAAGGTCTAGGTTGAGCATTATCCCTCAGGACCCAACCATGTTTGAAGGGACTGTGAGAAGCAATCTGGATCCACTTGAAGAGTACACAGATGAGCAAATTTGGGAGGTTTGTTGGTTTTGCACTGGAGAAAGGAAGCTTCTTCCTACTAACTCCATTTATAGATTTGCAGTTCTAAATTCGTGGGACTAGTTAAAACATCTTTTAATTTTTTCAGGCCCTGGATAAGTGTCAACTTGGAGAAGAAGTTAGGAGAAAGGAAGGAAAGCTGGATTCTACAGGTTTGTTCTATGGCTACTCTAAGATACAGGCTATATATGATGCACTAGATTCCATTTTATGTCATGGAAATTCTTTTGTTTATGTTCGTATGGTTGCTGCAGTTAGTGAGAATGGAGAGAACTGGAGTATGGGTCAGAGGCAGTTGGTCTGCCTTGGCCGTGTGCTGCTCAAGAAAAGTAAGGTCTTGGTGCTTGATGAAGCTACTGCGTCGGTCGATACAGCTACAGATAATCTCATCCAGCAGACCCTTCGCCAACACTTTACTGACTGTACAGTCATCACTATTGCACATCGTATAACTTCTGTTCTTGATAGTGACATGGTTCTGCTTCTGAGTCATGGTTAGTATTGCCATATGAATGCATTCAACTTCCTCTAGCTACCACTGAACCTTAACTTTTTATTCATTTTTAAATGTATCTTCGTTCTTGGTGTAGGGCTTATTGACGAATATGATTCTCCTGCAACCTTGCTCGAGAACAAGTCGTCATCTTTTGCTCAGCTTGTGGCAGAGTACACAATGAGGTCGAATTCCAGTTTTGAGTAGTTTGACTGACAATTGAAATTCCAAATCTTCATTATGAACTACTCAACTTGGTAGCTGTTTTGATAATGACGAAACATAAGCGGTAAGGTCCAAAGCGATAGAACCGGGTGATCAAGTTAAAGTTTGCAGTGTATTTTAATATTCTGCAGCAATTATTGTGTGGTTAAGTACATTCAAGTAATTTTGATACTGAATAAAGTGTAATTGTAAGTTGATTGAACTCCTATGCAAAACATCCTCTCTTTGAATAGATAAATGGCTCTGTAATTGGAAATTTTTTTAAGTAAATTCATTGGTCCCTCTACTTGTCCAAGACAATGCGTCGTAGACTATATTAGAGTTAGATATTCCAGGACCGTATCACACAAGACTGGTGAGACAACCCCACAGGTTAGCTACAACAAAAAAGGGGACGACACTGTAGGAAACCCACCAAAGATTTTAGTTTGAATGATTTTCCCTCTTTATTTATCTTTTATTTTATATTTTGTTCCTACTGGATGATTCTCCATTTGAAAATCACAATTCCTCCACTAGATGAGGAGAAATTCATAATTCTTTGGTTCAATGGGTGGACCACGTCATCAATCCAGCCACTAGCTGAAACTAAAAATTTCTCCTAAATAAGGTATAAAAGACTTTTTTTTCTTTGGGCAATACGGAACGTACATAGAAGACTGAATTAGGGTTTGGACTAATTAGGGGGAAGAGGGGAACCACCAATGGTCAATGCTTTGCAAGTAGGCTCAAAAGTTGAGCTTTGGGGATGAGGTTCTGTAAACAATCCT